AAAATCTTATGACCACTAACACTTTCAATATCAATTTCTTTAAATTTCTTTTTATCTCTTTTAATATGGAATGCTTCTATGTAAGTACTATAAAATGATGTTTTATTAGCAAAGAATCCTTCTTTTTCAACTGGTAAAAAGACACCTTAAATAGTAACAATATCTCCTGGAGAACATATTCTAATATTACTATCTCCTCTTGCCATAACTGTAAATGTTCTTGGAATTGATCCTTTAGGTAATTGTTCTTTAAGTTCTTATATTTTGATTTCTTAATTGGATATAAATTTAGAACTGCCATGATTGAATATTAATCTTCCTCTTACTCTATTATCTCTACATTTATCACTTGCACAATCAAGCATTGGAGTAAATGTCTTACCATGTACTGTTTAATAATTTTCATATCCACATGCATCACATGAAAAACATGCAACTATTATTTATGGTCTAACTTCTGATGTTCTAACAACCATTGCTTTTATTGTAATTAAACATCCTATCAATTAAGCCTTTAGATTTCTTATAGCCATTATTTACTACTTTGTTTATGGTCCACGAATTATAAATAATTAACTACATTTATTTATTTAATTTACTATCTGCGTATTAATTCTGGAGGAAGTCTTTTCTATTGATTATTGTTTCCATCTTATTCCATATTCTATTGTCTTTGAACATTAATTTCATCATCAAATAAATCAAAATTTTATTCAAAATCTCTTGTTTATTAAGGCATTAAAGTATCACAAGCTTAATATAGTAATCTTTGATAAGATAATGTATTTGTTTTTATTTTATTAACAAAATCTATTCTATCATTAAAGAAATATTCTAGATCCTCTAAGTAGATATCAATACGATTAGTTTATCTGTTTGCTATTTTTTACTATTTTAGTCTTAATTATATCATACCAACTCAATCATGTATTTGCGTTAACCATAAGTATTATCAATTTCTACTATTGAATTGTCACGAAACTCTGCAAGAAATTCACTTAGACTGCTTAACTCTGAAGCATATTCAGGTACAAGAAATTGACGCTTGTTATTTTGTTTTGCCATTTATTTTTATTATTGATCACAAATCGTGGCAATTTGATAAAATGGGCGCCAATTAATATTATATATTTATCATTAATAATATTACTTTTGCGCTTTAACTCATTTTGTAACAATATTATAATGATACATTTTCATTATTTTTTAATTCTTTTTTAGATTTAATTCTTATAATCCAATTAAATTCAACAATTTGTTAACTTGTAAAAAGTATTACAAAATCTTAATAATGTTATTATAAATTATACAATCTAAAACTACCTTATTAATATTTAATTGTAGCATTATATAAAATTCACTTTTATAAAAAATAAACTTACTAATCATAAACTATTCATAATAATTAACACACTAACATACATCAACATTGTTTTTTTTAAACAAACATATAGTGAAATATATATTATATTTATAAATAAAATTAATCAAAATGGTGAGTGCTTTTTCAATTGGTAAAGCGTAACGATGTATTTATCATACTTAACTACATTAGCCACTCAACCAAGGAGTGAAACACCTGGTCCAGGAGCTTACTAACCAATTAAAAGATAGAAGATGACTCCTCCATCTTTCAAGTAAATTTTGCCTGTTAAAGTAGATTTGGATCTGGTAATAGAAGTGGCCTTCTTAAAGTATTTGCCCCAGGACCTGGTGCATATGAACATCCTTCAAGAGTAACCAAAGAAGGACCAAAGTATTCCTTTGGTCTTAAGAAACCAACAATTTTAGCAAAATAGGGACCAGGACCAGGTAAATATAAAGTATTTATTTTTTAGGAGCTTATAATCCTAATTATCGAACAATGGTCAAGGCTCTTCCAAATTATTCCATTGGAGCAAAATTATCATAAACTTACTCTACATTTTAACCAGGGCCTGGAGCTTATGAAAACCAATCGACTGTATTAGGAGTTCCTTGCATGAAGTAAACGTAGGTTTGAATTTAAGATTTCCCCACTCTAAGCGTGAGGGATTTAATGATTTAACTCGTACACCAGGACCTGGATCATATCTTAAAAGACCTAATAGTGCTGGTCCATAATATAAATTTGGAACAGCATCTAGAGGAGCTTTTTCAGAAATAAAGAATCCTGGTCCAGGAGAATATGAAGCAAGAAGCGAGTTTAATGTTTCTTAAAAAGGATTTTCCATGCTTTCTAGAAGAAATTAAACTCAGTAAGAATAAGTGCCAGGACCTGGAACATATAATTGGGATAAGAAACAAAAATTGCAACCTCCATCATATAAAATAGGAAATGAGACTAGAGATAGCTTAAATCGAGAAATGCTTAGAACTCCAGGACCAGGAACTTATGAATCTAGATATGAATTTGCAAGGCCTAAATCAGCATAAGTTCGTATTGGTAGTGCTACTCGTAGGCCATTAAGTGATACAAGAGATATTCCAGGACCAGGAACTTATGATTTGAATACTAAAATAGGAGAGGGTCCCAAACATTAGATTTTAGGTAGTAAGTATGAACCAACAACTAATTTAAATTAACCTGGTCCAGGTGCATATAATCCAAATGATGGACCAAGTAAACAACGTCCTGCTTCAGCTAAAATTGGTACAGGTCAAAGAGCTGAACTGAATGCTGGTTTTGGGAAAGATGCTCCAGGTTAAGATTATTTAATTTATTTTAGGACCTGGAAATTACAATTTGAGAGGTTCTTCTGATGGACCTAGATGGGGATTTGGAACAGCACTAAGACCAAATTTGAATTAAACGGATTAGAGTGTTCCAGGACCAGGAAATTATAATCTCAAACCAACTTTTGCAGATGTTCCATCATATCTATTGAATAAATGAATATATATGAATTATAATATAATCATAGATTTAAGTATTTTATTATATAATTCTATTTATTTATAATGGAGTTATCGTTTTTAAACATTTAATTTTTAATTTTAGAAAGAAAAACGAATAGTCTTTGCATTAAAAGTGAATGTTGTTTGAATTGTAAATCAATAATTTAATTATGAAATTGATTCTTATCGCTCTTTTGGGATTGACACTTACACAAGCTGTCTTTGTTAAAAGATCAAATGACCCTAGCAGGGCTATCTTCACATAATTAGAAGCTATGGAAGAACACGAATTAGGAAGAAAATTATTAGACACAATTGCTCTTTAATTGAATAACAAGGCCCCATTGGGAGACATCGCTAAAATGTTATAATAATTGAGAGAAAACCTCATCCTCAACTAATAAGAAGCTGATTAAAAGCATGCTTAAGATGAAGTTGATTGTGAAACTGAAATCTACTAATATAACAGAAGAATTGACTTCGCTTCCAATGAAATTACAGAATCAACCTAAGAAATTTAAACCCTCAGTGCCAAGGTTGAATAATTGACATAAGATGTTGAAGACAAATAAGTCTAATTAGATATCTTGAATGAATAAGAAACCTAAATTAGAGAATAAAGAGCTGAAGATGCTGAAAGTTTCAAGAAATTCGAGAATGAAACAGAAAATGTCATTGAAGCTGTTGAAGTTATCATTTAAAGATTGAGTTCAATCCAACCAGATTAAGAAGTCTTGGCTGCTTTAACATAATTAAACAAGATTGGTGCATCCAATCCAATTCTTGCTCTTATGTAAGTTGCTTCAACATTCTCAGCTGAATAATTAAACAATGTCCTCGGAAAATTAGGTGAAGTAAGCACTTAATTAGCTGAAGCACTTGAAAATGCCAGATAAACAGAAATCTAAGCTTAATTAGATTTTGAAGCTTTAGTTGTTGAAATTGCATCATAAAGAGAATCTTTGAGCGCTGCCAGAGAAGACTCTGAAAGATAACTCCAAGACAACTAATAAGCTTTGGATTTATAAAAGAAGAGAAAGGAAGATGCTACTGATGAATTGAACGCTGCCTCATCAGGAAAAGAATAAAAGGAAGCTGAATGCGATTCATGGAGAACTTAATATGCTGAAGATTCTGAACACAGATAATAAGAAATCTCTATTATCAGATAAGTTGAAGAAATCTTAGCTACTAAATTATCCAATGTTAAGGTTTATCTTTAAGAGAGATCATCAGCATGAAAACAATTTTATTCTTAAAAAACATATATAAATCAATTCTAATTTTATTTTATAATAATTTATTATAAATGTTTTTAGATAATGAAAACATTAGCATGCGTCTCAAAATTGTAGAAGATCGATTAGGATTTATAGAAAATCTTACTCAATTATAAGACAAACGAATTAATGAATTAAATAAACAATTAGATCATGTTATTCATCAATTTCAAGGTTTGAATTTGGATCGTTGTAGAAATGATGAAGGCTTAATTTTCAAAATTGAACGCTTTGAAAAAAGCCTTGTTATTTTATAAAGGGAAATGAATCAAATAGGTATTGAATTTATTGTAAATCTAAAGCTACTCATCAAGATGAAAGAATTAATTAATTGATCAATTAATTAGTTGAACCTAGTTTTAAGGATATTGATATTTAAATTAAATAAGAGTCTCAAAGAGTGTAATTGCAATGTTAAAGGTAGTTGGATGAAATGTATGAGGAAATCATTAATAAATTTAAGACACCTTTATAGAGTAGTGTTGCTCATGGAGGAAGAGTGAGCATATTAGAATCAACTTCACAAGATGATACAAAGAAAAAGATTGATGATGAAATTAATAGAAGAATTTATGAAGAAAATGAAAAGAGAAGATCATTTATAGAAAGTGATAAAAAGTAACATAAAAATGGATAATTATCAACAGAAAAATCAAGAGCAAGAGAAATTTAAAATCGCTTAAATTTAGAAAGAAAAGCAAAATAAGACAAAATTAATTAGCTTAATGAATTATACCAATTTAGAAAACATTGAATTAAACTTTAAAAACATAATAATACTTATTAAAAGAATATATTATTTAGAAATTTAGAATTAGAGATTTATTAAAACACAATAACAAATCAAAATTATTGTTTAACTTAAAGAATTTAGTTAGCATTGGTTTTCTTCTCATCTTCTAATTATTTATCTGTTATTAATTTAGATATGTATCCAAATATTTTAGTTCTACCCTCTCTTATTACTATAATTTAGTCAGTTTATAAATATTCAGCTGCATATAAAAATTTTAATCTAACAATTAAAATTGAATATTACCTAACAGTATCAACATCCCCTGTTCTTAATACTTCATGTTATAATATGCTTTTAATCTCAACTGCTTATCTAACAACTCCACAATGCATTACTGCTTGATATCCCTTACTCATAGTTGTAGGATGATGAAGTATATGAATGTTTGCCTGATTTAGAATAAATATTATACTTCGAATTCAGTTGCAGGTTCTTATTTTATAGCAGGATCTATGATAATCATCCCCTTTCTAAAATCAGCTCTATCTAATCTATCACCAGCTTTGGATGGTTTAAGAGAAAAACAAGCAAATTCTCCTACTTAAGCAGAATCCGTCAATACTCTATTAATATGAATTGATTTAATAGTCACAGGCTTAAATTCTAATATTGAATCACAAAATATACATTTAGCTTTATCTGGACCCAAAAGTACATGTTAATTTAGAATTGCTTTTCCACTTCTTACTATACCACTAACTACAATCCCGACACCTGGAACGTTGAAATTTTCTTAGATATCAAATTGTAATGGATCATTAATAGTTTGATAAGCTTTATTTAGTTAATCTCTATTTGGAACTGCACTTATGAAACGTGTCAATTACTATAATCCATTTCCTGACACACTGGAAACTTAGAAAATGGGTACAACATTATTGCCATGCATTAATCCTGCCCATTTATCTATTTCATTTAAATCAGATTTTTCATCAAATAATATAGCTGTCCTTTTTATAGCAGGACTCTTAATCAAAGATTTTATATGTTCAAGTGTTTCATTATAAATATTTTATGGAGCTATGTCAACTTTTGTTAAGACTATTGCGAAAGGTATTTTTAAAAAGAGACTTACACCTAAATGTTCTCTGGTCATTTTTGATACACCCATATTTGCACCAACAATTATTAATGAGTAATCAGGAATCATTGCTACTAAACCAAAAATAGTTGTTTTCAAATATTTCTCATGACCACATAAATCTAAGAATGTGACAATCTTTTAACTCTTCTCTACAACTTAACTCCAGTATTTGTTTTTATTTTGATTGAATCTCTCAGGTAATACCTATTTAAGATTCTCATCAAAGCCCATTATTTCTTATGCTACAGATGAAGTCCTTCCATTTTCTTTCTCATGTTTATAATTAAAGACACGCTTAAATTTAAATGAATTATTATACTTCTCTTGCACCACCTCTTCCATCATCTAAAATTCCTTTTGTCAACACACCAACTAATGTTGATTTACCTGAATCTACATTCCCAATTATTGCTAATTTGCTATGATCCTTTCTTTGTACTTGCATAATTATTATATAATATTTCTTTATTCAAAAAGAATTAATTATAAATATATTTAAAATTCTTTCATTATTGTTATATTTTAAAATTTATCATATTAATTATGTCTTATCAATTTTAAGAAAAATTAAATTATATATTTTCTCTTTATAAATACTCTATTAAGGCCTGTTTTTATTGTGGATTCAGAATGGTTTATAATGTATATTAAGTTCCAATCATATTATTGATTTTGATGTTAGATGACTTTTAGAATGAGTTTTATAAAAAAGCATTTTGATTTGTATTTCCATTATCAAAGTTTTGCTTTTGAAGTTATTATCTTGCAAATGCAGGATCATTTGGTGGATTAGTATTGTATTATGATTATTTAGGTTATTATTTTGCAAGAAGGGGATCAATAAGAGGATTAGTATGTAATTAAGATTATTGGGGTTATTATCTTGCAAATACAGGATCTACTGTTGGATTAGTATTTTATTATGATTATTATGGTTATTATCTTGCAAATAAAGGATCAACCGATGGATTAGTATTGTATTATGATTATTGGGGTGATTATCTTGCAAATAAAGGATCAACTGTTGGATTAGTATTTTATTATGATTATTATGGTTATTATCTTGCAAATAAAGGATCAACCGATGGATTAGTATTGTATTATGATTATTGGGGTGATTATCTTGCAAATAAAGGATCAACTGTTGGATTAGTATTTTATTATGATTATTATGGTTATTATCTTGCAAATAAAGGATCAACCGATGGATTAGTATTGTATTATGATTATTGGGGTGATTATCTTGCAAATAAAGGATCAACTGTTGGATTAGTATTTTATTATGATTATTATGGTTATTATCTTGCAAATAAAGGATCAACCGATGGATTAGTATTGTATTATGATTATTGGGGTGATTATCTTGCAAATAAAGGATCAACTGTTGGATTAGTATTTTATTATGATTATTATGGTTATTATCTTGCAAATAAAGGATCAACCGATGGATTAGTATTGTATTATGATTATTGGGGTGATTATCTTGCAAATAAAGGATCAACTGTTGGATTAGTATTTTATTATGATTATTATGGTTATTATCTTGCAAATAAAGGATCAACCGATGGATTAGTATTGTATTATGATTATTGGGGTGATTATCTTGCAAATAAAGGATCAACTGTTGGATTAGTATTTTATTATGATTATTATGGTTATTATCTTGCAAATAAAGGATCAACCGATGGATTAGTATTGTATTATGATTATTGGGGTGATTATCTTGCAAATAAAGGATCAACTGTTGGATTAGTATTTTATTATGATTATTATGGTTATTATCTTGCAAATAAAGGATCAACCGATGGATTAGTATTGTATTATGATTATTGGGGTGATTATCTTGCAAATACAGGATCAATTGATGGATTAGTATTGTATTATGATTATTGTGGTTATTGTCTTGCAAATAAAGGATCAACTGTGGGATTAGTATTGTATTATGATTATTGGGGTGATTATCTTGCAAATAAAGGATCAACCGATGGATTAGTATTTTATTATGATTATTGTGGTTATTATCTTGCAAATAAAGGATCAACTGTTGGATTAGTATTATATTATGATTATTGTGGTTATTATCTTGCAAATAAAGGATCAACTGTGGGATTAGTATTGTATTATGATTATTGAGGTGATTATCTTGCAAATAAAGGATCAACTGTTGGATTAGTTGTATATTATTTAGTAAATAAAGGATCAATCGCTGAATTAGAATTTTATTAAAATTAATGGGGTTATTATTTTGCAAATACAGGATCAATTGATGGATTAGTATTGTATTATGATTATTGTGGTTATTGTCTTGCAAATAAAGGATCAACTGTGGGATTAGTATTGTATTATGATTATTGGGGTGATTATCTTGCAAATAAAGGATCAACCGATGGATTAGTATTTTATTATGATTATTGTGGTTATTATCTTGCAAATAAAGGATCAACTGTTGGATTAGTATTATATTATGATTATTGGGGTTATTATTATGCAAATAAAGGATCAATTGGTGGATTAGTTATATATTATTGTGATAGTTCGGGTTATTATCTTGTAAAAAGGGGATCATTTGGTGGATTAATAATTTATTAATGTTATTACGTTTATTATCTTGCAATAAGAGGATCAACTGATGGATTAGCTGTATATTATTTAGTAAATAGAGGATCGATTGATTAATCAGCATGTTATTAAGATTATTGAGGTTATTGTCTTGCAAATGGAGGATCAATCGCTGAATAAGAATTTTATTATAATTAATAGAGTTATTATGTTGTAAAAAGTGGATCAATCGGTGGATTAGTTATATATTATTGTGATAGTTCGGGTTATTAACTTGTAAAAAGTGGATCATTTGAAAGATTAGTATTTTATTAAGGTTATTACTGTTATTATGTTGCCAAAAGTTATTCAGCTATTTGAATATTATTTTATTAAGGTATTTGTTATTGTAATGGAGCCTCTTCCATTGTTAAACCTGACTCAATTTATTGTGGATGCTATTATCTTTCAGAATGATTATTACTATCCAACTACCTCAAATAATTACTTTGTGTCAAATTTCCGCCTATTAATTATTAGTTTTTTTTGAATAAATCAGTTGTTTATTATTAATTATATGGTTAATTACTTTATAGGTATTATTAATCCTAATTTTCAATTTAAGTGATTTATTAATTAGATTATTATTAATTTTTTCCAAATTAGTTAGCTTATTAATTTTCTAAGTTAGTTTCTATATATTAATCTTAATTTTGCAGAGAACTTATGATTTAATTTTATTATATAATAGCTTAATTTGAATTAGATTATTAAGTTCCTAATAGAATTCCAGTATCAAAATTATTTTAATAATGTTTTTCATATAAATTGTTAATGTGTTATGATGCAGTAATATTTCCTCCTCCAATAACTGTTCCTCCATCTTAAGAATTTTTACTCTAGCTTTTCATAACATTTTCAATAGGTATAGGAATATTTTGATTGATTTGATTAATATTGGATTTAGATTTGTTATTATCATCTATAACCTCTCCACTTTACACTATTATAATAAAATATAATTAAACTTTTTCTTTAGCCATCCAATCCTCTATGGAAGAATAGAATATTTTAACCAATATCATTTATATAATCTTTAAGGAATGTTTCTCTCCCACCAATAAATTTATTAGTGCCCTTAATTTCCAAACAGAATTGTTCACTTAAATTGAATTATCTAGATGTCAAAAATAATTATTTACTCAAAATATTCAGCATCTTAAATCATTTTTGCAATATTTAATAGTGTAATTGTATCTTATAATTAAGTTTAAAATGATTCAATCTAATATTGGCTTTGTAATTCTATTGTTAATTCCATTAAAAATAAATAATTAAAAATATTTATATCAAAATTAGAGAAATAAATTTGTATAAATAGAATAGTATTTTTCTATAATTTTCATAAATTATTTATATTTATTAATCAATTTCTTAAGATATTAATAAATATTAATTGATAATGCATTCGTTATAATTCAAAGTTTTTCTTTTTTCTTTTTTTGTTCATAATTTACATAAGATCCTCTATTCATACCTTTAAGAGATGAATAATTATCCCAATCACCATTTCTTCCATCATTATATTTACGTAATAAATATACACCATTAGAGACAACCTAAAGGAATTAAAAATAATAAAAACTTTTTTAGCATCTTATATTTCAACCATATGATGTGTGTCTCTATGTAATTTCTTTAATAATGCTAATTTTTCTTCATTTGGATTTAATTTATCTTTATCTGCAAGATTAGGTGGAAAATCTAAAGGCATTTTAGTAATATCTTTTTTCTTGTAAGTTTAATTAAGAGGTAAAATTCTATTAATAGTATAATGAATGCTTTCTGGATTCTTTCTCATTTCAGATGGAACTTTAGAAACTAATTTAGGATTTTTGAATCTATGAATTGGTTTATTGATTAGAATACTCATCCAAGCATTCATTCTAATTCTTCTATCTTCTAAAATAACATTCTAAAGATGATAAAATTTAAATCTATTATAATAATCTGTTTCTAATTCTTTAAATAATAATTCAATCATTTCTTTAGTATAATGATTTGGTTCATTAAGATCAATAGTTTCAATCATAACATTAGCAGCATTACCTTTTTCACTATATAATAATTCTAAAATTTCTTATTTATTCATCTCTTTAGCTAATGTGTTTAATTCTTAATCAGTCAATATATGTTGCATATTTCTACCTCCTTGTAAATGTGTATAACCATTACAATGAAATTGACACTTTTCACACAATTACTAATAAATTTACTTAATATCTTCTTCCTTTAATAATCTAATTGGTGGTAATTGAACTCTTTAAGGCAATTATGTTCTAGTACCTGTTGTTGGTTAAGGTCTAATTTTAATTCCTAATTTAGTTTATTCAGAGACAATAAGTGATTCTCTTACACCTTCTATATGTTCTTTTCCAATTATTGCACATTCTCTACAAAAACATTAATCAACACTATGATAATTAACACATGGACCATATATAGCAAAAATATCTAATCTTTCTAATGCATTTGAATGTTCTAAATTAGGTGGATATAGAAATTTAAATAATATTTCTAAAGATACTTTCATTTTATCAAATTTGAAATTAGGTATTTTTTAAGGGATTGGAAACTTAAAAATATCCCTTTCTTTATTTGCTGAAAATGGATCATCACTACCATGAAATTCATTTTTTATTATAGATGTTCCATATATTGCTCTTAATGATTATGGATCTACTTTTTTAGCTTCAATAGGATCTTTATTTCCAATCATCTTTTTCCATACCATTATAGGATTTTCAGTTTCATGACATAAAAGAAACATAACACATTCACCAGATAACATATATGTCATAATTTCATCCATATACTTTTATTACTTGTAAAACAGATTTAGTACTTCTTCTCTGTAGAGTTCTCTCAATAGATAATTATTAAATATTATACTTAAACAAAGTTTTTTATTGTTAATCCAGTAGCTTCTATTTTATTAACAACCTCCTACACTATATTTGGTTTAAGAGTTGTATCTGGTTTAATCATAGCAAATGTATATGGCAAATTCTCTTGTTTAGGATCAAACAACATATTTATATTATTATTAAATATTATTAATATTATATTAATATAACTAAAGTTAGTAAATCAAAATGAGTTCTATCCATGAAACAATATAATAAGTATTATTTTTTTATCTATTTTTTTATTGATTTAAATATACTTATTATCATTTTATTTAATATATTTATACCTATAAATATTAAACTATTTATGAACTCAAAAATAAGTAGAATAATTAATCAACAAAATGAAAACTAGAAGATCAAGTTCAGCTTAGCCTTCATACTAATCTGAGGAAGACTATATAGAGAAAAATAAACATATTTGTAAATCAATTAATCCTAAGTTAACATTTAGATAAATTAGAAATAAATTATCAACTGAATGGAATATTTTAGCTAATAAACCAAAAGTAATATATTATTATTTAATAAAGAAATAAACTAGATTAGATGATTTTATAATTTCTATAAGTTCATCACCTAAACAAATTTAATAAAAAAAATAAAAAAAAATAAGCATATAAAAACATCGAAAACATCATCAAATTAACAAAAATTAAAAGTCTCTCTAAAATAAAAAATTCAAATAAACTATAATCCCATCTTCTCCAAAACAAGTACCCAGTATTATTATTACTGATTCTGAATCTTTAAAAATTAGTTTGACTTCATAAGAAGAAAAGTAATCTATTTTAAGAGAGAGTCCTGTTATAATTTCTACTAATAGTTTATAAATAAAGGAAGTAAACTAATAACCTTAAAAGGAAGTCAATTAATAGCATTAAAAAAAAATTACAAATACAAAATAGGAAGAATCTAAATAAAATTTAATCTAAAATCAAAAAGTTTAGAAAGAAAATAAAAAACATAAACTAAAATTACCTATTCAAAAATTGAAGTTAAGAAGATTAAATAAATTAAGCAAGCTCAAATAAAAATGTAAACCAGGAATACCCTCTGAATTTCAACCTATATTAGCATAAGATTTTATTAATTCAGCCAAAAAATTTGATCACGTTAGTGTGATTACTATATCTTAATCTAAAGTTGATTAAGGTTAGGTGGGTTTAGATGAAATTAAAAATATAGTATCTCATACATATGGAATAATTAATCATGAATAAAGTAATTCTGAAAGGTTGAATTTCTAATTGTTTTTTGAAGTTGAATTCTAACCTAGAGAAGATGGAAATGTACCATAAAATACATTTTGTACATCTAAGTAAGCTGCCTTTTATTGCAAAGACATAACTTTAGGATATATTCAAAAACACAAAGATATATTTACTTAATACAATGAATATTATTTGAAATGAATGTTAATCTATAAAATTGTATAAATAAATTTTTTTTAATTTTGTATTTTAAACTATTCATTAATACTTTAATTTTATATTGAATATTAAATAATCCCTTGCTATTATCCAATACTTAGAGTATATAAATCAAAATAAGGAAAGTTAATGAAAATCTCATTTAATATTAATACATAAAATGATATTTAGAAATATAAATCTAAGGAAATTTTTAGAATTAATTAAAAATTTGTTGTGAATTATATCATAATGAAATTTTAATTAAATCTCATTACTTATCTTTAAAAGTTAAAAAAACTGGTTATTTCATATTGAGAATTTGGAGCAAATTTAAATATTTTCATAGAGCTAAAACTAAAATTGACTTTTAATTTTACTTAATAAATTTTACATTAGAGTTAGATAATCAATAGATAAATTATCAATGTTATTTCATTACCTTAATTTATAAAAAGTAAATTGAACTCCACTAAAAATAGAATATTATGATTATAATGAATAAAAAAACAGTGTATCAAATAAGATTTGAACATTTCAACTGTTACTCAAATCAATTATGATATTTCCTTATTCAGTTCTATAATTAATAAAGATTTGTAAAATGAAAAAGAATCACATCATAATGTTTTTTAATAGGAAAAAGATATTTAAATAATGATTATGATTATATTAAAATTATAACTATTATTTAATTCTAATTTACAGAAATAAAGTACTCAATTCAATAATAATTTTTTGTTATATTTTATATTTTTCCCAATATTAATCTCAGAATTAATCAGATCCCATTATAAGTTTGTAATGTAAAACTTAAAGGGCAATTAGAATTATTAATATATTATTTATATAAGAATGAACTCAAATTAAAGTTTGATATTAAGAGTTACCTTTGGAGAATTTAAACAAAAATTAATTATTGATGATCATTAGAAATAGATCATTGACTTAAAAAATGAAATATCTAAAAAATTGTTAGAAAATGGAATTAATATTGATTAGAATAAAGTATAACTTTAAGATGAAGATGGATTTATTCTAAATGAAAGTGAAAAAATTTATAATTTACTTAAAACAAATGATATAGTAAAAGTAGTACAATAGGAAGAGAAATAAAATATAGTAATTTAGTAATAATAGAAACAAATAGAAACTTAAGAATGCTAATAAGAATAATTATAATAAAATATCAATCAAAATAATGATCCTGTTGAGGCTATTGTTGTATTATTTGATATTTCAGGATCTATGAAAGGAAATTACTTTAAAGAAGATTAATTATCTAGAATTGGAGCAGTAAATGCTTTTTTTTCAGCCTTTGCTGATAAAACATTAGCTTTCGAATTTAATCATATAGTAAAACTTGTATGGTTTTAATCATTTATAGTAGATAAATGTGAATTTACAAATGATTTTAATACTTTCATTAAATTGGTTGATGATGCATCTCCAGGAGGTGGAACTAAATGTTATGATGCAATAGGTTATGCAATTGAGTAATTAAAAGAAATCAAAAAGAAATATCCAAATATAATATTAAGAATAATTGCATTAACAGATGGAGAAGATAATTAATCAAAAGAAAATCCATAAAGTTTAATCTCAAAAATTTTTGAAAATTAAATTATAATAGATTCCTTTGTTGTAAATGATGATTGTGTAGGATTAAAAACTTTGACTCATGCAACTAATGGAAGATGTTATTGTCCTTAAACTCTAGCTGAAGGCATGTCTTTATTTGAAATTGAAAGTATCTTAAGTATAAGTCATAGAGAAAAATAAGAATATCCAAAAGAAATGCTAGATTTAAATTCATTAAAAAATAAACCTTTTGATACTGAAGCAATGAAAGTTATATCTATGGATGTCTAAAAGACTGCTGTTATGAAAAAAGAAGAAATTTTAAAGAAAATGTCATAAATGCAAAACACAACTTAAAACTCTGGTTAAACTTCTTAGGGAATAAATAATTAATCTAGAATATTAAAGGAATTATAAGAAGTTACTGTATAAGGTGATAAATTGAATTTTAAATGCTATCCTACTGCAAATGATATGAAAACATGGAAGGTTTTATTGTATGGTCCTAAAGGAACTGTTTATGAAGGTGGATTATACATTTTAAGTTACATATTCCAACAAAACTATCCTTTCAGACCTCCAAAAGTTTAGTTCATCACTAAATTATATCATCCTAATGTCAGTAGAGGTGGATCGATTTGTTTAGATATAATAAATAATTCTTGGAGTCCTGCACTAACAATTATATAAGTACTTAATTCACTTTCAGAAATGCTTTAAAATCCAAATGTTGATGATGCTTTAGATTGTAATATTGCAGCAATTTATAAACATGAACCAGAATTATTTAAATAGAATGCTATAAAAGAGAAATTAGAAGTAGCTTCTCCATCAGAGGATACTTTATTAACTGATATTTTAGGAGCAATTGATGTTAACTCCTAAGACTATATAGATACTAAAAAAGAATTATAAACCTGGTTGGAATAATAAAAATAAAATTGAAAATAAATTTACATCATTATCATTATTATTATTAATAAATAAAATTTAATTTTAATTCATTTTAATACCTTAACCATAATGATTATATTTATATATTTATTAACTTAATTGAAATTTATTTATTTTTATGTACTAAAATCAACATCTATTAGAGAAACTATTAAGAATGATTTAAATTAAATAAATTTTTATTTAACAAAATTAATTTATAAATAGTTTGAAGCTTTATGTAAATTTCTTTCTGAATTTATATGATTTAAATTTTGGTTATGAATTCAAGTTTTAGAGATTTTGGATTCAGATCAAGACTTAGATTGAATTAATAAATTTATATGTTGATAATTTTGTTGAAATTTAAAGATTGAATTTATAAATTTATTGATGAAAATGAAAATTATTGTAATCCTGAAAATGCTTATCTTGATAGAAGGATATATAATATTTGATCAGGGATATAATGAATAGTTTCTATATGCAACAGGATTTTCATGTTCAATTTCTAATACGATTACAACAACTGTGACATTTTCAGGTACTTTTTAAGTTCCTCCCCAAATATTAATAATTCCAAAGAGCATTTCTATGAGAAATTAGTCCCCTCGTACATTTGATTACGATATCATTTCTCTAACTACACAATGTATAAATTTTATATAATTGAAAGAATTTTAGATCAAAATTACATGTCCAAGTGATGTGATGGTGAAATATATGTTTAATTGGTATGCAGTTAATGACAATAGAATAGTAATTTTGGAGAAAAAAAAATAAACTAGTTGTTTAGATTAAAGTATCTACACACATTCCCATAATTTATCAAAAGCAAAATAAGCATTTGTTATACTTCAAAGTTGGGGAATGTCAGCATTAAATCTTGATTTTTATATAGAAGTATATGAAATAACTTCAACATCTGTTAAAATAAAACTACATAATTCTAATTCAAATTTATTATAAATAGGATATTAAATTGTTATAGGAACTTAAGAAGCATTTGTTTAATCAAGTTTAATTGCATCGCCAGGAGGATAAAATGTATTATTAACAAAGTCGATACCAAAATTAAATTTAGGATTTTTATTTCCTTCTCTTGCAGGATTCAGTTGGAGTAATATCGGAAATATAAGGATGTAATTTTCTTAATAATCTATTCTTGAAAATATTGAATACACATGTGAAACATGTAAAGTATATACATTATTTTTTAGTTGATGTAACTTAAATGAATACTATTCGATTCAATGAACTTTGGGTATTTTAAGAAATATTGACTCCTATGTATGTTTATTCATATCGAATAACTAAGAAATATGAAAAACATATATAAGATCCAATAAAAATAATGTTAATTGAATTGAATTCAGAATATACTAATATAGGAGATTTCTAGGTTACAATACCAAATGTATTAAAAACAGTAATAATATAAATTGAATTAAAATTTTAACCAGGAGAAAAATTAATTGGAACCTTTTTAAAATGCTTTGATTGTGGAAGTTAAAATGCTTATAAAATAGAATAAAACTATCTTTGTGGAAATAATTTGATTAGATATAGATTATTATTTAGATAATAATCAAATTTTGACTAAACTTTGTAAATATCAATTGGAATTTCAGAAATAACAATTAAATAAATAATTAATTAGTCAGTTTAATAATATTAAATTGCTCAACTTAAATTTGTAGAAATAAATCCTTGATTATAGAAAAAGAAATAATTGAATTTTATAATTTTATCAAAAAATAATAAATATTCAATTTGTTGCTACATAACCTATTAAAAAACAAAATAATGCTGAAAAAAAAATATGCTGAACACTAACTAATATTTAACCTTAATTTTAATTTGTTTCTTAAGATAACAGTAATGTTTTTTATTTTTCTATGTTTTGTAGTTCTTCCTATTATTTATTTAATTCTATTTATAATTAATTTATTTTTAGATTTAATCTTTAGATCTAAGGATCTTCTTCTATTTCATAAACTTATTAGGTATATAATTTTGGTTATTAAGATTAAAATGGATAGGTTTATGGTTTTGGAGGAGGATATTCAAGGGGAAGATTATTTTATGAATTAGATGATTGTTTAGATGGAGTTTATTTTATTTATTAAAATGTAGTAGATGTAAGAAATCTCTATTCAGAAGCAGACACTCTACTAACACTTTAATGTTGGTCAGAATTAGTGATTGAATTTTTAATTTACTATTGTTTCATTTGTTCATTTTTTTTTAACAAAGTATTTTGCTCATATGTGAAATCTTGTTAATGATAAATACTTTCTTCTATATTCTTATTTAATGAGATTGATTAATTAATTATATTAGATTATTTGGTCATTTAACTTTGATCAATAGTAATTATTTCTATTTTCATTTTTTGAACAAATGTGCTGTTAGAATAGGAATCAAAATAAGAGGCCAGAGACTTAACATCGGTTTTATTGAAATTTTAATCAGTCAAATCCACAATTAAAATTTGTAATTTTGCATTAGCTAACATATAATGATTTATATGTACATTAGAACTTTTAACATTTAACAATAATTTTAAAGTATTATCCTGTGAAAGATCCTATATGTGGCATTACTTAAATATCTTAAGTATTATTTGTCCTAATTTTAAAGGCACAACAACTTATAATTAAAATATTTATGTACTTGTTTGGTTTATTGTTATTTAATGTTAGAGTCCCTATGAATTGCCCATCTATTTTAAAACATTCTAATCTTTCACCTTGGGGAACAGTGATCATAAATTAAATTAAAACAAAATATAAAATTTCATTATTTCTTTTCTATTCATTTATCATTAATTTTAAAGTCATTATTTAATCTATGACTATTTCTTCTGCTTAGATCATTAAATTAATTGTTAAGAATATCTAATTTGGTTTATTCTCTCTTGTTTTTATATTCATTTACCAATAATAAATAATTTTGTTAAGACAAAGGCATAAAACTTTAAAAATTCATTCATTATCTTAGATTTTCTTTTATTTAAGATTTGAATCTTCAACTTAATTATAGTACTAAATCTTAAATACTTTAAGAGTATTGTTATTAATTAATTAATTCATCACTGTGAATAATTATATCTTTATTTTATTATCTTTAATCATTTAAGATACTTTATTCGAATCTACTTCTAATTATTAAATATCAGCATTTGCAAAAAAAATGTGAAGCATAGCCTCTTCTAAAAATGAGTATTTTCGAAACAATAGAGACACTAGAATGAATGTCTACATTTACCATATTTTCTAATTAAATATAAATGGATACAATTATTAAATATATTAATCTTAATAAGACCAAGATAATTATTAAATCAATAATACTTAATTTTAAACAATATCTCATATTAAAATTTTATTAAATTTCAAAAGAATCTATTTTATTTATTTTTTCTTTAAACATCAGTTCAATTAAAATGTAATTTTTACATCAAATTTTTATTTCTTATATGTATTTTTGTATCTAAATTATTACTTACATATTTTTCAACTCTTCAGTAAGAAATACTTTTTATATTATAATCTAAGAAAGTATTTTAAGATATTTTTATATATATATTCTTATATTAAATAATTTAAATATTGAAAAGTTTCTTTATGATTCATAAAAAATTAATTAACATAACAAATTTTCAAAAAATAGGTTAAATTCTTTAATATTTTTTTGGTTAAGCCATTTCTAAATCTTAATATTTAACCATTAAATTTTATATTCCATTTAATGTTTCATCAAAATGAGATTATTCCATATATTATTTATAATGATGAACATAAACCTTTCGTTTGTAAAGTTTCTAAAATCTATCTGTCATTTCTTAAAATGTATCTTTAATACAAGTATTATTAGCCAAACATAACATAGAATATTATTATCCAATAGGAGGTTAATTACAAATTCCATATTTGAAACCTTCTTAATTCCAATAAATCATTTTCAATTAATCTTTTAATTTCTTAATATTTCTATTAACATCTGAAAAAGCAACATCTCCTCTAACTAAAAGTCCTACAGCTAAATATTTATGAAGAGATGGTTATCCTGTGATCATTTAAAAATCAGGATGATAAATATCACTGAACATTTAATCTAATCTTCTTGGTTATAACTTAGAATCTAATAGACTATATAATGGAGCCATGGAAGAGATAAGAAAGTGTAAATCTGGATATGGTACTAAATTCATAGTGATTTCATTGAGATCTACATTTAATGCTCCTTCAAATCTCATTGAACATGTTATATGACTTAATAGATGAGCAATCAAACTATTCATTTTATCAAATGGCTTTTATCTTTTCTCTTCTTCACCAAATTAAGTAATCTTTATGCCAACACTCCCTTCATGTGCATTCTCTTTTACTAATCTAGCTTTATTTGGTTTATCTATTTAATCAACAATATTAATCAATGCTTAATTATCTATGGGAAATACACAATCAGCATGTTTAGCTAATTCATACAAACTAAATAAACTATTATATGGAGATGTAACAACATCATCATCTCCTGATGGAAATACAGATGCTGTAAATCTAAAAACTTCAGGGTAATTATCTTCCAATACTATTATATTATTTTATTTATTAAATACATCCTAAAATTCTAGATCCTAAACCAGAACCTGTACCACCTCCAATTGAATGAGTCATAAAAAAACATTATAATGAATCACATTATTCTACAGTTTTTCTTAATCTCTCTTCTATATGTTTTTCATATTAATTGCCATAATGATAAAATCCATGTGCCCAATTATTTCCTGCTCCTGATACATCATTTATACATTATCTTTCTTCAAATAATTCTCCTAATGGACTTTTCATTATTTAATTAATAACTCCTTCTTCCATATCTACAATTAAAGCCCTAGCTTTTAAATTTTGAATAGGATCTCCTATTTTTAATTCTTAATTTTTTGAATTCACATTTCTAAAAAAAGAAGACAATGATTCATCATAAAGTAGAGATTACTTTGCTTTTGCATGTTCTTTCAAAGCTAAATCCCAAAATCTCATTCCTATTTGATTTCCACATTAACCCACTTAAACAAATATCAATTCTCTTGGCATTTTATATAATATTAATTCATAATAATAATTCAAGAATTTGTTTTATTGCTGTAAAGCTTATTCACAATCTCTTACATTTCTGTTTTTAATTTTGAAAATTCCCATTATTCATCTATCTCTTATATTTCTTCAATCGGTCTCAATACTTATGTTAATATACTAAAATCAATGTCATCAGCCTAAATTTAAATTCATTTTAAATATAAATACTGGTTATGGCAAAGATGATATTTTTGCTAAATTCTACAATTCATTAATATTCTATAATTTTTAGCCTAAAACCACTCCTGCATCTGAAATCTGATTTTAAGGTTTCTTTTCCTCTTCAGCATCAGGAATATATTATATGTCATCAGCTTTTCCAGCTGTTTCCCAAATATTTAACTTCTTTTCCACTCGACTAAATATCGTATTAATCTTACTTATTAGTATTTAATTTGATATTGTTTCCAGAAAATCCCCAACCTTACTTTGCCATTTATTTTAGTATAACTTATATTAAATTATAATATATTAATTTTCAAACAATTTGAAAGCATAATTATAAAGAGATACATAAATATAACTCAGATATATAGAATCCCTCTTTTAAGATCCATCTTCAACAATTAAGTAAATTGACCTTCATTTAAAAATTCTTAAATATATATTATATCTAATCCAACTTAATCATTCTAATATAGAATTTATGTGCTTATAATTCTGCTAAAATTTGTTATTAGATTTTTAATTGATTATTATATTTATCTATGATATATTCTATCATAGTTAATAAATATTTTTCTTATTGTTTAATATTAAAATAGTTTATTTTAAATTAACTTAACTTAATTTTGATCTTTTTCCTCATAAAAAAAAACACATGTTTCATTATTTGATTAAATTAAAAAAGATTAATATTTATAATTTGTTTTACTCTAATTAATAGATTTTAGGCAAAATTAATTAATTAATCAATTTAGATGGATTTTGGAATATCTACTAATAATGGCTATGTTTTACGATTGTCACTTGCAATTATGATTTTTTTATTCATTGAATCATAAATACCATTTAACAAACCAAATCCTATAAATTCTAATGCATTTTCTATATTCAAATTTTTGTGCTCTTTATTAAATGATTTCATCAACTTTATTTTCAACAATTTTTAAATCCTATTATTAATGGATTTCATTAATATCTTCAACTCTTTCTTCAAGAGCATCAATATATTTGCAAGATATATTTTATTAACCAATTTTGAGTTATTGATATCTTTTCTTTTCATAGTCTTAATTGATATCATTTTTAATATTTTAATTATTATTCATCATGAGATGATCATCATCTTCCTCTATTTTGTATTCTCTCTTATTTACTATATGTTGGTTTAAGTTCACTAAAATCTAATTATTCTTAAATGAAAGGATCAGTGTTAAAAATCTTATTATATTATTCTGATGAATTTTTGTTCTTCTATAATTTATTTTATTAAATTTATTAATTTATAAAACGAAAAGCTTCTAGCTTACAATTAGATTATCAAATAATGATGAATACCAAGATAATCTTAAGCTACTTTAAAAGCTGATACATATGCTTACAGTCCAAATTAATATATTTAGGAATATCACTCTTGAACTCCTACATCATAAAATGATATATTCAACGTTAAAATTAAAAATTCTACATTGACTTGTGATTCCTTATATAGTGTTAATATTCTTTATGACTTTCAGTTACAGTTTTCTTAACATTCTCTAAAGCACCTTCATGTCTATTTACTAATATAAAAATATATGTACTCTTTGACTCAGACAAAATTAATAAAAGTAAATGTTAATCAAAAAAATTTTTATTTTGAAATTAAAAAATCACTTTAAAAACTTATTAATTTACTACTTAAGAATTAACTAAAATATATATGTATGAAATATACATGTGTATTTTAAATGAAAAATGAAAAAATCTGTTATTAAATTTATTTTTCAATTTATTAGATATTTGTTAATTATCAGAATAAAATAATTTGTTTTATTAATAATTTTAATAATAGAATTTTTATATTTAAATTTAATTTTCATATTTTTGTTAAACTTGTTCTTTTAATCTATATTTTTTATAAAAAAAAAAGTTATTAGAATTTTAGTGATTGTATGCACTAATTAATTTCTACTATTTAATATTATTGAAATTAAATCACTTAAATGATTCTTTTAATATCAATAGAAAAAGAATACATTAGATCAATATCACCATAAAACTTCATTCTATTTTTTAAAAGTATGTTATATATATACTAAAAATAGAAATAAATTAAAAAATAAAACTTCAAATTTTTTCATGATAATTGCAACATTATTTCTAAAAATTCGTCTTAAGTAATTTAACCATCTCCATTTTAATCTAATTGTTTTGATAAATTATCTAATTTTTCTTTTGGTATTTACATATCTCTTAACAGTTTTTTGACTTCTTAATTATTTAATTATCCACTGTGATCTCTATCAATTTATTGAAAAAGCATAAGCAATTTTTCTTTATTAAAATATTTCTTTTAATCTATAGTAGCTAATATAAATTCTATTTTTGTTAATTTATAATATTTACCCTAATAATCAATTCTACCACTACAATTCTAATCAATTTTTGTAAAAATAGTATCTACTTCTTAAATTGCTTTTTCAGATGAAAACATTGTTTTATATACTTTGAGTAATTCTTCTTTAGTTAACAATCCATCTTTATTTAAATCAAATTTTTAAAATTCATCCATTAATTTTTTCTTATCTTAATCTGACATCATATTTTCAGCAATATAATTTAACATTGCATTTTACATTTAAGATTATTACTAAATTAACTAAATTTATTTATATACTTTGAATTCTTTCATATGTTTTGATAATTATTTATTAGGTTTTGTTACTATTCGATTTCTATTTAAAAATACTGGATTATTTATAACTTCAGTAGCTGTGGGTCTTAATTAAGGATTTGAACTAAGCATTTTAGAAACTAATTGTTTCATATCAGTGTTTATACTAGCCCATTCTTATCCTTCAAAATTTACTACACCTCTTTAAATGGCTGTTTTGATTGCCTAACTATCACGACCTTAAAATGGCATATGAGATGTAAGAAAAAAGTAAAGCAAACATCCACATGACCAAATATCTGCTTTCTAAGTTTAATAATAACTATTTATTGTTTATTTAAAAAATTCTGGTGGTTTAACAGATATATCTTAAATGCTATTACTTGGTTTCCATGACATACATATAGATTTTATTGTATTTGGAATGCCAAAATCAATTAGTTTAATGTTCTCCAATGATTTATTTGTGAATACTATACTATCTAACTAAATATTCCTAATTTTTTAATTTCAAATCATACCCATGGACTATTCCTTAATTATGTAAATATTATAATCCTGCCATAATCTAAAGGAATACATCTATCATTGTGTGATATTATAACTAACCAAACTTATCTAATTAAGACAGCAAATTTCCACAATCACAAAATTCCTATACTAAATATAAATGATCTTCATTATAATAATATGGTAAAGTGTTAACTAAATTTAAATGTTTCTTTATATAACATAATAGATCTTACAATTTATATCATTTGGTTGATAATTCTTATCAATTCCTACCTTTCAGAAGTAGTAAGAATTTTTAAATTAAAAACTTTTACTATTCTAGATGAATTGTTGCTTTTAGACACAATTTTTTTTATATAATTTCTCTAGGCTATCATAGTTATTTAATCATTTTTACTAATTAAAGGGTCTAAAGCATGAAAAATATAATCAGATTCTATTTTTTCAGTCTCTTGAATTATGAATGCTGGTACTAAATTATCTCTCTCATTAGCCTTATTTGAACTATCATTTAATGGAGAGTTTGGTTTGCTTTCAGATTTGGCTTATTTTGTGGCTGTACAACCCATTATGTAATGAAAATATTTAATTTTAATTGAAAAAAAATCTTGTATCTTTTTTATATTTTAAATTCAACCTAACAAGATTTCAAACATATATTATACTATTTAATTAATATAGATACTCATCTTATATATGAATAGACCATTTAAAGTAAAGAAAAAATTATAAATCAATAGATTTATTTTTGGTTGATTTTAAAAGCAAATAGATTCATAAATAATAGAAACATAACATAACATAGCTACAAATTAATTATTTATTATATTGATAATTTATTGAATTCAGTATGGATACTTAAATTATTAATCTGAAAAACTACTAATTTATTTGAAATCTTCAAGTGATTAGAGCAGAATTAAGCAATTTAAAACAACATCAAAAATTTATCAAATATAAAGGTAATGAAAAATTGAATTAATTTACAATTATCGAATTATTAGAAATATGACAATCCATTAAATTTTTAGGTCAGGTTTTAAATTATAAAAATTGATAAATTCGATATTGATTATATTTAATAAAAAATAGAAAAGAATAAACATATATTATATGATGAAGAGCATTTTCAAGACTTTTATTAATATATATAATTGATAATCTTAAGTGAATTTTTTAAAGAATACTAAACACAATTTTACTATCAATTAAAATTATTAAAAAATCAAAATAGAAGGATAGGTTACATATAACTGAGAAATCTATGGATACCTAAATAAAATGTTGAAATCATAATTTTAGATGAAATATTATTTGTTTGAATTATTCTGTTTTAAATATAAGTAGAGTTAGTAAATTTATAGATTATAGATCTTTTTAAATAGCAAGTTAAGTGATTTAATACTCTTTAAAACTATTTTATATTTTTTAGAATATATAGAATTCATCCAACAAATTTAATTTGGTTTTTTGGAAAGGGAGTTTTCGTGCTTCTATTATATTCACTCTTTGGATCTCCATTGGTAATTGGATTACGATATAAATTTTCTCTATTTGGAAGATTGGAAGTTTTTAATTATTACTTATAAACTAAATCTGAGTTATTTCCAGGTTCAGTAACCTTGATACAGTGTGGTTTAAAATTCTATTCTTTACGATTATCAGTAAACTAGAGTATTATAATTTGATACATCAAAAACACTAGTTGGTTAATTGCTATATTGAGTAGTCTTTACAGTAGGTTTATGGAGAGGTGCTGCATTTGTAATTAATGTAGTAACTTAAAATAAAGGTGAAGATAATTTTTCATTTTATTTATTAGCACATTTATCTCTTGCAGCTTAATACAAAGCAAGATCAGATTCCTTCAAAGGTTTATCATTAGATTTAATAGGTTTGCTAAGTTAGTATTCTGAACGATTAGATTAAATAGAAGTAACAGTCTTGAAATAACTTTCGTTTTCCATTTATTTGATCGTTAATTATTAATAATTTAATTAAATAAATAAATTTGTACTTTTCTAATAAAATTAATTAATATTTTAACAATAAGAATATAGATGAGGGATTTAGACATAAAAAAATAATAAAATATACATAAATTACTTAAAATTATTGTTTCTATCCATTTATTATTTGGATTATACTTATTCAAATATTCTTATATTATTTTTAACAGATCTAAATGAACAACAAATATAATTATAATAGATTTGAGATCAAGAATGNAACATCAAAAATTTATCAAATATAAAGGTAATGAAAAATTGAATTAATTTACAATTATCGAATTATTAGAAATATGACAATCCATTAAATTTTTAGGTCAGGTTTTAAATTATAAAAATTGATAAATTCGATATTGATTATATTTAATAAAAAATAGAAAAGAATAAACATATATTATATGATGAAGAGCATTTTCAAGACTTTTATTAATATATATAATTGATAATCTTAAGTGAATTTTTTAAAGAATACTAAACACAATTTTACTATCAATTAAAATTATTAAAAAATCAAAATAGAAGGATAGGTTACATATAACTGAGAAATCTATGGATACCTAAATAAAATGTTGAAATCATAATTTTAGATGAAATATTATTTGTTTGAATTATTCTGTTTTAAATATAAGTAGAGTTAGTAAATTTATAGATTATAGATCTTTTTAAATAGCAAGTTAAGTGATTTAATACTCTTTAAAACTATTTTATATTTTTTAGAATATATAGAATTCATCCAACAAATTTAATTTGGTTTTTTGGAAAGGGAGTTTTCGTGCTTCTATTATATTCACTCTTTGGATCTCCATTGGTAATTGGATTACGATATAAATTTTCTCTATTTGGAAGATTGGAAGTTTTTAATTATTACTTATAAACTAAATCTGAGTT